TTTCTGTCCACTATTAACCTCCTGTTCAAAATCAAATTTTGAGGGCTTAAGGGAATTCTTCTCCTGTTGGTACACAAAGGAGCCATCTGTATCGCTTCTGCGAAATTCTGTACTGTACTTAGGACTATCAATGTCTTATTCAAAGGTTTATGATATAAATTCCTTTCCTAACAACAGTCATACTTTTATAGTACAGTTTTTTAGTATGTTTGCATGCATGTGTATATACATATATGTGTTTAGCATGTATGAAGTATTTTTATCCCTTTAGTCAGTGGATAACCATTGCTAGTAAATGCAAACAAGTTGTTTGCATGTCTTCTTCAATGCTACCTTGCATTTTTTGAGGCACTGTGTGTATGTATATGTTTTATCTGGCTAGAAATAATGTAGAGTAAAATGAGTTAAAAATCTGCATAGCCTTGAAATGTTGATCTGTAGTTGTTAACGACAATAGCTTAAATACTTTTATCTGTTGCTATATTTTGCAAGATCGCGTAGCTGAAAGTAGAATATGATAAAAACTAGCAACTAATAGACTTCCTGTATTTTCTCGTCCAATTTTAATTAACTTAGTCACAACCACTTGCCTTCTTGGAGGAAGACATTAGGGAAGTTTTGAAAGAGGAAACTGGAACAGATATATTTCTCAAGGAGGAAGATGACACTGTGTATAAAAGCTGCAAGCAGGAGGTAACATTACAATAATAATTTCGAAGAAGAAATAACTGCTTTTAAACAATATTTAACAATTTTTCTCTGCAAAATATTTATTGCAGTACAACTCTTCTAAAAAAGTCAGAAAATCACTGGTCCTAGATGCATGGGAAAAAGAAGAGGTTGGTGCCCAGCTCTTCACAGAAGATAGTAGTTCGGATGTACAGGTAAGTATTAAACTACTGAACACCACCACTGGCAGAAATATTAGTATAGAACTGAGTATCTTTTATTTTATCAACTAAAATAAAAGTGTTTGGATTGAAGCTAGATTCATAAATCTAGAAAGTGAAAATCACCTTGAGTTTGAAATACTACTTTAAGTACTTAAGCAATACTTGAACATTGGGCTTGAATTCGTGCATGAATTCTTCCTTTCAGGCCTTCAGAGCAGGACTGGTAAAGTAATGCGAATGCTTTGCAGACTTGCTTTTATAGCAAAGCTGCTTCCATGCTGGTTACCTATAAACTTTAGCATGTATGGCATGCTGAAGCTCTGTAATACACCAGGAAGATGACATTTGTCCCTGTGTTTTTGCATGCTTGACAGACTGGCAGACATGTTCTGAAGATACCTAATTGCATATTAGGCAGCATGTTTTTCCTTTTCCTGCTTCACATAGTAGGGGAACACTTTCGGAAATATCAAGCATGTGGAAGATGAGGTTTGTGGGCTTCCTCTGCCTGAAGGAATTTGAATACTTCTGCCTCAACAACCAAGACATCAAGAGTTCAGAGATGGGGCAGTTTTGGTCCCTTATTCCTTTAAAAAGTAGCTCAGTATTTTTCCAGTTGAGTGAGTGAATAGATTAATCTTTAGTCTTGTAATTTGTAGGAAAACTTCTAATTTAGTTCTTAAATTAAAGTAACTATGTATTTAATTCTGAAAGAGTAAATGTCTGTGACTCTTCATCAGGTATAAAGCTACATTCGAGAGGTAGGAGACAGAGTCCTTAAAAAAGACAGGTGCTTAAGTCATACCCCTTTCTGATTATTGTAGCTGGTTTTCTAAATTCCCTTCTTAAATGCCTCATAGACCCTCTGCCAAGCCTAGATGTCTGTCCTCTGGGTGTTAGGTGCTCTGCCACCTAGTGGGAATTCCATGCTTCCCCAAGAACATCTCTGTCTTGTGAGGAGCAGCATTGCTGCAGCCATTCAAAACAGAAACAAAATGCCCGGTGTTCTCTTAGTAACGTCTTGTTATGACATGGTATATTGTACATCATTGATGTTCAGGTTATTAAGCTAAAACCAAGATACACTATGATGTTGTGGTATAATACAGATAGTGGACTGGGGGAAAAAAAAATTGCTTTCCTTCCATTTTAATGAGGAATGCTGGTGCAGCAGAAACATTTGCTCTTAGCAAGAGAGATAGTTGTAGTATCTGATTTAAAAATTAAGAATGTACCAATCTTTAAGTAGAAATTGTGTGTCCTTGAGGCGGTAAGTTAGGAGTAAGGCCGGAGGTGGAATAAATATGTAAAGATAGTTTAACACAGTTTAAAGGGGTGTTTTTGTAAGCAAACAAGTACATATGCCACTGTTACTCTCATCTAATTTTGCTCTCTAAAATTGCTATATCCTTTTCTTCCGCTTTGCTATAATGAAGCTGGATTTATTTCTTTTTATTTCCATAAATATTATCAGCATATAAAACTCTTCTGGAATGATCAATCCAGTGTTTATTTCAATTCTTAAAACAGTTTCTTCCCCTGATACTGACATGATCTTAATTTTTTTACTCCAGCCTCCTTGTGCTTACTTTCACAAGTGTTGTACTAGAAGTGAATTACAAGCTTTTTTCTTTAAAAAACGGCTTTGTAGTTACCACTTTATCAAGTCTTGTTCTTAACAAAATGTAATAAGCTGTAGTGTGGCTTTACAGGAAAGAAACTGGCTTCTCAGTAATGCCTAAATCATGCTAGTAGCTACTTGTTTTACTGTGCTCAGTATTGACTATGAATCCCAGTATAGACGAGGGTAGTTCTTCATATGCTGTTCATTACTTTTTCTTTTCAGATTCTTTGCTAGGGTCTTTCTGATAGTATTTGCTTTGTTTACATTTTGGTTTCTCTGATTGCAGCAGTTGAAGAGTTTGGGGTTTTTTTTTTGGGGGGTCAAATACTAATTATTATCCCTGTTCCCTACCCTCTTTTTTGTCAATAGTCAGAAAATGCATATACTACATCTTTATTAATGATACCATTGTTGGAAATACATGACAACAGATGTAACCTGACATCAGAAAAACAGGATACAAATCCAGCAAACAAAGCAAATGCAGTAATTAAGAAGAAACTGAATGCATGCCCTTCAAAAAATGTCAAAATGGAGAAAGCTCTTCAGGTCTGGATGTGAAGAATTCTGTTAGTTTTGTTAGCTGGTTAACAAAGAATTTCTTTTTGGTTTCTCCTGTACTAATGTCTATAACTGTTCAATTCAGTGATCTAGTTTTGGTCAGTTTTTCCATGATCCTTATTTCTTGTAAGTTAGTCATTTGTCCATGAAGCATTTATTCATAGCTAAGTTCTTTAAGTACAACCCAGATGTTTCACTGAATGGCTTATAAGATTTAAACCTGGGGGGAAAAAATCAGCATAGGGTGGACCTACAAAACAGGTTTGGGTATCCAAGTCTAGCAGTAAGAAAAGTTGACTTGGTGCAAACTAAACCTCTGTAGCATCTAAGTGGCTCAAATTTGGCTGGTGCTTACTTCATAATAAACCCAGTGGGATTCATTAAGCAGAGTTCATCCACAGTTTGTTTGGTAATTGTTCTTGAAATGTGCCTGTTCTTGTACATCTGTATATTTTCCATACAGTCAAAACTGTGGAACCTAGTTTTTCCTTGCTGTCTTGACCACCAGATTTAGGGGGAGACTCTCTTTTACCTGACTTTGTGCCTGTTCCAGTTTGCCCCATAGGGAGTTAATGTATAAGGTTTGTGTGTCTTCTCAGAATATCTACAGCTCTCTATTAATTAAAAAAAAAAAAAAAGCAAAAAAAAAAAAAGCAGGGCACCTGGAGCCTGATCTTCCATGTCCCCCTTAATAGCTTTAATGATGTGTTTTGAAGTAGAGACAACAGGATTCCTTTCTGATCCTCTCTTATGAGAAGAAAGAACAAAACTCATTTAATTGTGATATTCCAAAAAAAGACTTAACTGCTGTGAATTGCAGCAAAGGTCAATACATCTATCTGGCCCAGAACTATGCTCTTAAGGATACTTAAAAGGGGAGCTTAGTCATACTATACTCATAAATATCCTCATTGAACCATCTTTCTCTTTTTGCTCTTTCCACTGAGAAATTCCCTCTCAATTTAGTGGCTTTCCATGAATCAAGTCCTGCTAAATTTATAGAGAAACTCAAATGGCTAATTGTCTCTGTGCATTTATATGTGGAACTGATCTTTTGGATCAGTTTCTAGCTCAATGTGGGAGGGAGAGAATCTTGCATTCTCCATTGTGCTACAATCTGCTAGTGTCAGGTCCAATTTAGGGCTGCTACAAATCAGCTTGAGATTCAATAAATCATGTAAATGTGCAGGGTTTGCTTCATGGAAGAAGCAGGACTAGTGGCTCAATTATTCTTCTATTCATTATTTTTATTCCTAATTCCTTTGCCATTTCTAATATATTCCCAAAACATCTGACCATTCTTCCACAGCTGCCACTTTGGTTCAGTGAAGTCCTTCACAGTATTTTTCAGCTGCCAAACCATTTTGCCTTCCTTGGTGTCTCCAGACAGCTGTCAAGAATCTATTTTTCTGCCTGTTGAACATAGCACATTTAAAGGGGAAGATATCCAAAGAGAAGATGACTTAATTAACTTCCCTTTTATGAATCAATTGTTGAACTAGTCTCTTTTTAAGAGTGTTTTTCATTTTATGTGTTAGAACTTAAAGCGTAACACAGATGCACGGCTGGGGAGCTGGATTAAGAGGTGGAGAGGGAGCGTTGTCACAGGTTTTAGGTATTGTATTATAGAACTGAACCTTTCTCAGTAAAATAAATACTGTCTTGCTAGACTTTGATAATTTACTATTACTCTGAAAAGCTCTATGAGAATTGCTCAAGCGTTTTAGTTAAAAGAATCTTTTTAACTGAATTTTATTTTGTGCAGTCAAATTGTGAATGGGAAGCAGTTGTTTACGGAAAAACCGAAGACCAGCTTATCATGACTGAACAAGCAAGAAGATATCTAAGCACATACACAGCTACCAACAGCACTTCAAGGGCTCTGATACTGTGATGGTCACTGCAGCTGACAGCCATCTCTTTCCATTGAATCTGGCACAGTGTTGAAGGTGATTCCAGCACAATACTTGTGAATTAGTCTTTACTTTGAGACAGTCTGCCAAGGGAAACCTTAAAGCTACCTTAAAGCTTCCTTTCTTCTTTTGACTGACAAAGAACAGACATTAAGCTCTCGTATTGTCTACAAAGGGATAGTACAAACAGTTCTGCAATGAATTTATTGAATATTAAAAAAAAAATTAACACCCTAAAATATGATAAAGAATGGTAAAATACATTGCAGTACTGACAACATACAGTTTTTAGGTCTATTTTTCATATTTATTCTTTTGACTTGCATTGCTTCTTTCTGTTAGTGCATTTTCAATATAGAGTAGGTTTATAGGTTGTTACTGGTTTCCAAATGAGCAACATACATGACTGAATGTGCTTTTGCTTATGTAGCATTTTTCTAGTATATAAAGAAACACAATGGAAAGGAGTATAAAGGAAGGATAGAAAGTTGCACTACTAATTTTTTTGGTATGCTGCAAAACAATGAAATTAACTACAGTGTTAAATATATTTATTTGCAAACGGTACTAGAAGTAGGCAGAGGGGGGTGAATTAGGTTTTAGTGTAAAGCATCAGTATTTTCTTCATAAATCTCAAAATGAGATGATTGTTGAATGTATTGTACAGTATGTAGGAACGGGGAAAATTTTGTAAATTGGAAAGGAGTCTGGTTTTATAATTTATTTTCATTTTAAAGCTTAAATGTAGATATTTATATGTATGCAGGTTTTCTAGAAGCCAACGTTGTTTCCTGTTAAAACAGCTAAAATTAAAAAAAAGGACAAGTTTAAAGTATGGAATAGCATAAGAATTACAGTGGTGAAGTGTACAAATCTATACTGTATGTTACATCTACATAAAAATTGCACTATAACCCTTAAATCATGTGGTCTACAAAATAATTACAAGGTATACCTATATTATACAGTAACTGTTGTTGTACCTTGTTTAAATACACTTAGAAGGGAATGGTGGCATCCTGTATGTGACCCAGGAGTACTTCATCCTGCATAGGAACTAAAAACAAATGCATTTTAAATATTAAAAAAAAAAAAAAAAAGAAACTTGGCACCTTGGATCTCAAAAGAATTGTATCTGCACTTAAGTTTGACCATGATATATTTACTAAATGTTTGAAGAGCAAAGAGAACATTCTTTTATTTATGAAAAATCTTTGTCCTTATTTAAAGGTATACAGGTCACAACAGTTGCTTTAGTTGCCTATTTTAGGTATTTGCACTTATTTTATGTCTTTTTTTTTTTTTAAGGAATGTTTTGGTTTGCTTTTGTTGTAGAGATTTTTATGTAGTTAATTCTGAGCAAGTTATAATGGTGTGCTATCTACAAATACTGACAGGTAAATAGAATTGTACACTGTAGTTTTAGTTATTTATAATTCAAACACTCTTCCTCTCCACTCCCGGGTGTGCTGCTACAGATAGTGGCAGAATCAGCTTGCTGCTATGAGAGATGGAAAGAGCGAGCATCATATGCACTGTATGTAAAATTACAAAAATGATGTCAGGTTCTCTAGTTAACTTTATGAGATCAACCAGTACTATGCAGGGCGTGGAAAGTATTCTATCACTTTAATATCAAAGATGGTAGAGAATAATTTATTAAATGGAGAATTTTAACATGTGATGAGTGGCACAAGGAAGGTAATGGGTTATTAAACTTTTTTTAAACATCTCAAAGCTTATACAATCCTTATTTTTAGGAGCTTTTTGATATTAAACATTTGCCTGGCTATGATAGTAGTAGGCATAAACATTTTTAGCAGTTTTTAATTCACATAATTTTTTTGGAGGGAAATCCTGTATAAGCAAGAGGATCAGAAAATACCCATCATGCCAGGATTACTCCTCACCTATGAAAATTGAACAGGAGGCAATTGGAATTCTTGGCAGTATTAGATTTAGGTGTGCATTACCAGAATGGATTTTAACAGCAATGTTTAAGGCTGGAGACAGCATCTAACTTACAAAAAATGAAATAAGAAATTGAGAGAGAATGAGTATCTAGAATCTGGATGATATATTTCAGTAGAAGTATCACCAAAACTGCCTATACCAAGTTTAAGCGTAGATTTATGGTAAGTAGGATTTGTGTTGGTATTGGTTGGATCGTTTAGTTAACTCCTACTTTGTTGCTTTAGCAGGAAGGTTTTAATCTTTCATATGTCAGGCATCTTTTATTACTTTTTGAATGTTGTGTGCATTTGCATTTCTTTCAGTTTATAAGTAGATTGTACATGCAGCAGCCAAATTTGCATGAAACCTAAATACATATTACTCCATATTTTTGTTTTAAGGTTTGACATAATGTGCAACAAATGCCTTGTTTATCTTAGTTTTTGTTGTACTACAAACTTTTCTTTTATGTAAGAGAATCTCACATGCAATACAGACCATATTAATGTCAGAAATAAAGCATCTATGTACCAGGTTACTGTAAGTGCCTTTTATTTGAGAACTTAAATGCTCGCTGCTCATTAAAGCAACATGTATGTATGTGTGCATGTGAAACTGCAAGAAACCTGCCTTTTCTGGGCTGGGCAGAGACAAACAGCAATCATGGGAATTGGTGGGTTACACAGCAGGATGGAGTCCCTTGACAATACATGCTACAACCCAACTTACTTGTAAGCCTGCTTGTATTGGGTTAACAGTTTGTATTTGTCCCTCAAAGCTTTAACACAAATATTTATGTATAGGAGACTATTTGAGGGATGAAGAATGTTGCTAGTGTAAAGCTTTTTTACATTCCTTTCACTTGTATGATAGAAGTGATACTTTAGTATGTGTGCCTGGGTCTTGGGAGGTAAAAGCAATTGTAAACTGTGCAGTGTGATATTTTTTTTTTCCTAACTAGTACTCACAAACATGTATTTATCTGAATTAGTGTTACACTTTGACTTTCTTATTTTGCTAGAAACATGGGCATCCATTAGATGATATCTATTGCCTTTCTGAGTTTTGTGACAAAATATAAATGGCAAACAATTAAAATAAGGACAAGAGGGACTAACAGAAGCCAGTTCTTCAGAAATATGTCCTGGTAATTTGTATCCCCTAGCTTTAAGCTGTATAGGCAAGCTGTGACTGTTACTGGGGCTTTGCTGGGGTTCTGGCTGTCACAGCAAGACCACTGTATGAATATCCTCCAGACCTGCTCGTGTTTGCGTGCGTGAAGTTTTCTATTGCTTGGGGCGAGTGAGGTAGGCTGACTGTAGAGCATTTCTTCTTGTCATGGCTGACTGCTGACATCTGAAATCGGGGTGAAGTGTGGGTCAATGAAAGTGAAGTCTCTGATGATGCGACTAGTTCATTTTTCTGTGTTGACTTTGCTCAGTGAAAGAAAGTAGAGCAGATGGACAGCCAGTAAGCCAACCTTGGGAGAAGCTACAACTCTAAGTTTGATTGTATGAAGACTGGAAGCTTTACTCACAGGCCTGGCTTTTGCTTGGAAGAAATGGTCTTTAAGTTATTGGTTGGTGAGAGTAAGCCCAGTTCCTACTGCTATTATTCGGGTTTTACATGAGAATAGCTCTACTAGAGTTGCACCAAACTAACTCATGCAATGTTGTGAGTGAATCAAACTTCATGAAATAAGGGTTTTAACACTGGATATTAACTGACCATGGTTGCACCATACCTGTGCCCAAGGTCCAACACAATGCAAACAATGAAAATTTTGAAAATAGAATAAATTCTTGCATTTGGTTTTGTGACAAACGTTCAGATAAAGGTTCAGTACCTAGGCAGAAAATACACTGATGTCTTCTAATGCTAGATTTCATTTAATTTCTTTTTTTTTTTTATAAGTTTCCTTGACACCTTGGATTAGCTGAAGCTTTACAGGCTTAAATGCTTACTTTCATGAGGAAGCTGTGGGTTCCTGTTTCTGTGTCAGCTGAGCCAGAAGATTGGTCCCTCGTGAAGCTGCAGCATATTGGTCTGTGTGGCTTCCCCTGGAGACAGCCAGCTTATCCCTTGAGTGGGTTGGATTCTTGCCCTGCAGCTGAAGGGAACAATATGATCCTTGTGGTTCTGCTAGCATGATGTGTTGGGAGAACAGGTAAGCTTTGGACACTTATACGTAATCTTACATTTCTGTATAAAGTAAAAATCAGAATGCTCATACCCGCTGTATTCCACCTTAATGATTATGAAGAAACCTCAATAGTGCAGCTTCTGTTTGCATCTGGAGTAAGAGATGTGCAATACGGCATTCTTCAGTATGAATTGGTTGGGTTTCTTTTTTAATTCCATTTTCTCTTCAGCTTCATTGCTGTGTGTTATTTTTGTGAGGTACAGAACTGGAAGGAGTCCTCTGACGGTGCCTGCTGTTGGACTGCATGACCCCAGCGATACAGTTGCTATTGCAAAGGGAATTCTCTCTACCTGCTACTACCTTTTGCAGAAACTTGGGTTTCTTCTTTGGGTTTATTTTTAAGAGTCTGGATTATTTACCTGACTTCTGGTTTCCTATGTTGTTATACCCTCTGGCTACAGAGAAGATGGATTTAATGGCCTTAGTACATGCAAGATGGGAATGGGCTGTGTATTGGCTGGCAGTGACATACATCTGCGACTGTCCTGTGTCATAGTCTGAGGGGAAGCGTGCTTTTGTCTTTTGGGGAGGGAGAATTCTGCTTCCTCAGCATTTACTTCCTCGCTGACTGTTGACCAGTTGCTTGATCTCAGTTACTCATTGTAAAAGTGATGTTTGGTGGTTGCACAACCAACAGAACTTTAGAGCATGCTGTAGTGTGTGTTGTGTGCTCTACTTTAAGATGGTCTATCCCATAGGCTAAGAAATATTTGCTCAGTTTTCTGAGGGTATCAAGTTCTTACAGCAGTAGGCATTGAATAAAAAAATAATTAAAAAAACATCAGCAGAACAAACCCACAAAACAGACAAAGAAAACCCAGAGGAAACTGCTCATTGAAAGGCCATGCTCATAAGTCATGGTATAAAGTGCCTCAAAAGTGTTTGCAGGAGCTATATGAACAAAATGAGCTATGCATATACATTAGATGGAAAGACAAAGTTTGGAAAAGCAATCAATCAGCTTTGTAAATCAGAGCAGCTGAGGGTGCGCTTGCGTGTACCTGTAGGCATGAGTTGGCTTGACGGGCTCATCTTAACGCTGAGTGGCCTACGGGAGGACAGCGTCCCTGTTTGTCTACTTTGCACGCTGGGTGAGCGTGCGTTTGTGGCAACTCGGTGCCAGAGAGGACTTGCCCCAGCACCGGGGCTTGGGCTGCGCCACACAGCGAA